CATCTCTTTTTCTTGGACTGTGTAGTGACGTTCCGTCTCATTAAGTTTTCGGTTTTCATAAGCAATTGAATGTTTGTCTTGCATGAGTCCTCCCCTTATAGAGAAGTCAGATGCATCAGTCTGTACTTCATATACTTTAGTATGATCAGGACGGCTAAGTACAGGCTCTTCACTGTTGCCTTCTTGAGATCTTCACATGCTTCTTGACACCTGCTATTCCATTCCCATGACTTGTTTTTCTTTAGTAGGTCCGTCAACGGAGCAGCCCTTGCATAATAGCCCTTTATGAATCTTTGATAGTAGTTTACAAGCCCCGGGAAGGATCTTAGCTCATGTACCTTAGTAGAATGCTCTCAATCTTTGATGGTTTTGATCTTGCTTTCTTCCGTCACAAGCTTCCCATCATTTATCCCTAAGAATATCACTTCTTGTTTGGCAAATGAGCATTTTTCTTTTTTGATGTATAGGTTATTTTCACTTAGTACTTTGAATACTTCTCGGAGATGTCTTAGGTAATCTTGGAGTATGTTGTTATACACCACTATGTCATCCAGTTTGACAAAGACAAATTGATCTAAGTAGGGTTGGAATTGTTTGTTCATCAAAGTGCAGAATGTAGCAGGAGAATTAGTTATCCAAAAAGGCAAAAAAAAATTCATACGACCCATATCTGGTCACACAAGTGGTCTTCAGTTCATCCCCTTCTGCTATCCTTATTTTTTAGTAGCTTGATCGAAGATCCAATTTTGAGAAGTATCGTGCATTCCCCAGTTGATCAAAAAGGTCGGCGATGAGAGGATTTGGGTATTTGTTCTTTACAGTAACCTTGTTTAAAGCCCGGTAGTCTATGCACATGCATAGGGAACCATCCTTCTTTTTATGAAATAGAACTAGGGTACCATATAGGGCTTTAGATGGTCAGATGAATTTGTATCCAACAACTCCTTTAATTTCTTATGTAGTTCTGCTAGCTTTGAAGGTGCCATGCGGTAAGCTCCCATTGTCGGTGGCTTAGTCCCTGGCTCCAGCTCAATCTGATGATCGATCTCCCTTCTTGGTTTTAGTTATTTTGGTAATTCCGGCGTTGAAACATCTTTAAACTCCTCAAATACTGCCACCACTTCCTGTGGCATGTCTTCTTGGGGCTTCAATTCTTTATCGGAGTCATGAAAAATAGCCAAGTAGCTCTCTTCCTTTCATCGGATGCCCTTCTTGAATTGAATGACCGATAACATTTTGACTTCTTGCTTGCTAGTCCTTGTTGTCGGTACTAGGCAAGCTTGGTCGCCCTCCATGATGCAGACCAAGGATTAATTTGAAATAGTCCATAGGAATGATGAAGAAATTCAATGTACCTGACCAATCTCCGACACAGTTCTTCACACTTTTGGCCACTCCATGGATTGACCTAGCCTCTGAGTTTACTGCTTTGATGGAGCCTTCTCCTCTAGTTATTTGCGGACCCATCCTCTTCACTTTTTCAATAGAGATGAAGTTGTGGGAAGCTCATGTATTTATCATTGCTTTAGTAGATGTCCCACCTTTAATCATCTCCACTAAGAGAAGTCCTTTTGTCGGGGTTTTTAGAGAGGAATGCACCATATTGGGCAGTTGCATCATTCCCACTTGTGTTGTCATATTGCTTCCTTCTTCCTCTTAATGGCTTGGAAGGAGAGAGTTCAGAGCTTTCTTTTGAGGGCAATTCGTTGCCCAATGAGGTCCTTCACAAAGGAAGCAGTTGTTGTGTGGTTTAGTTTTGTTGATTTTGTTAAACTTCCTTTTGTTTCTTGCCTTGGATGGAGTCGATTCGCGACGGGTCTCTTCCTTGTGCCGATCCTTTTCTCCCCGAATTTTGACATAATTACTCTTCTTTTCGCTTGGCTTTGTTGACTTCTTTGTATAGTCAACCAAGCTTTCCATGATGGCGATGATAGTAGCGAGATTTTGCACTCCAAGCCTCCTAAGCTCAGTTTTCGCCCGCTATTGGAGTCCATCCATGAAGTTGAACAGAGCATCCTTGTCATACATGTCAGAAATTTCAATGACCAGACTAGTAAACTCTTTAATATATTCCTAGTTCGATCCCCTTTGCTTGAGTCTTCACAACTAGGCTCTAGCCTCATCCTCTGCATTCTCAGGGTAGAATTGTCTCTTTAGCTCCCTTTTGAAGTCATCAAAGGTGGATATGGTGTACATACCTTTCTCGATGTTTCTACACCTTATTCTTCACCACAACATAGCGATGTCTGAGAGATAAAGAGCTGCAAATTGTATTTTTGTGTCTTCATCTGTAATCCCCATCGCTCCAAAGTTTTGGTCGAGTCCCCATATGAAGTTGTTTACCTCTTTTGTATTGCGAGCTCTCCCAAAACTCTTAGGTTTTGGTACTTCGATGCATCAGTGTGATACTTTTGGCCTTGATCCTCTATATGGGCCTCCATGCCATTCATACCCTCTTCTATCCGAGCAAGGCGTGAATCAAAGCCATATATGAGCTTCTTCGAACTCCCATGTGGTTTGGATGCAGCAGGATCTCGTTGCTCCTTGCAACCTCGTCCTTGTTGAGATTAATCCATATTTGTGACTTCAGACTCCATGACATGCTCTTTAATACTTTTTGGCATACATTTGAACCGATGCTCTGATACCAACTGTCATGGACTAATTTATCTCAATTCACTTGTGCGGCTTCAATGCTCTTTCTTAACACTAAATCAATTTAACCCTCACAACGCTTGAACTTGTAAGCACAAAACACTCTAGAAAGAAAAGTGGGGAGAAGTATTGGAGAAAGAAACTCTTCACTAAGAAAGAGTGATTACAACACTTGAATGGTTCCAGATGAGAGGGAGAAACTCCTATTTATAGTCCTCTCTAAGTTTAAGGGAATTTTCTAGATTACATTAGAATAGTCTAGTTTCTAGATAGTTCTATATCATTCTCTTATATACATACATAGCCCTAGATCTTTCTAAGTTAATTTTGAGTTATCCTTGGAGTTTTTCCTTCTAATATTCTAGAATGCGGTGGAGTCTTCTAGGGTTACTTGGTTGCTCTCCTCAATCTATTTTTTTCTAAAATCATTCATCCCATGGTTGTCTTGTCAATTTCGTTGAAGATGGCGGAGTGTGACATATGGCTCTTTTATCATATAGAAGGTCAAACATTAACAAAATTGTGCACTCATGAGCAGTGCAGAAAAGGTAAAGTAGGACAAAAATCTTTACAAGAGACTACCTGAATTTAGGGAAAAATATTTATGTACGTAGAACGCACGCAGCTCTTCGTGTGTAATCTTCTCCCAATAACCTCCCAATAAACTCTGCGAAGATTATTGGGGAGTTATTGCATTATTTCGACATTATTTGGAGTCAATACCCTCCGCGGTTACATTTTCACATTTTCTCTGGTGTTGGGTATTAACTTCAAATAACACCGAGTTAACTCTGCAATAACCCCCCAATAACCTTCGTAGAGGTTATTGGGAGGGGCTTACGCACGGAGAGCTGTGTGTGTTCTTCGTACGTAAATATTTCATAAATTCAGGGCTGTCAAAAATGCTCGTTGTTCGCGGACAACTCGTTAAGAAACTCGTGTTCGGCTCGTTCACTAAGTTAACGAGCCGAATACAAAAAAAGATTTGTTCGTTCGTGTTCGGCTCGTTTTGACTCGAAATACTACTCATCAATATATATATATATATATTGATGAGTAATATATATATATTGATGAGTAGTATTTTTAAAAAATTTAATTAACTACAAGGCTACAAAGATTTATAATCAATTAAAAGTATTAATTAAGAAAATATAATAAAAATTATTAAATTAGATTCAAATTACGTTTTAATATAAATAATAATTTTTAAATCTTGCCCCAACCCTTAACATCTCAGGGCTACGTGATTAGAGTTGTCAAACCTATTCTTTGTTTGTGCACAGCTCATGTTCAACTCGCTAAGCAAAAATAGCCAAACACGAACACACTTTTTGAGCTCGAAATATAAATGAGCCGAACACGAGCTGAGCCTGGGCTCGCTCGTGTTTTGCTCATTTACACCCCTACCTGAATTAACTGTCATTCAGTCTCGTGGTTTCAACTGTACACAGGAGCTGTATTTTAAGGTGATGTGATTAGTTTTGTTCGGTGATATAGTTAGTTTTGTTAGATGATGAATGGTTGTGATGTGTTTGGTACAAGTATATGATTGACATGCAGTCAGTACCGGAGAGTGGAGCAGTAGATGTTTCTTTTTCTGGTGGTACTGGTTTTTTGGCGTTAGCAGTATCCACATCCTTGAAAGCATAATCAACATGAAAGTTTACAGTGCCATCCTTTTAATTATTTGTATATCATTGAAATATAGCTTTCAATGTGGGCAACCTCTTAAATTTTGCCTGTTGTCAGGTAATGTATGGATCTATGTTTCTTTCCCTGAAGTTATGCATGAAATTACAAAATGGAAAAAAATTACTATTTTGATAGTATTGAACTTTAAGTCCTTATCTTCTTGCAATTTTTCCTACAAATTCAAGTTACATTTGGAAGTATAATGCTAAAAAAGTTTATTGATACATCACCACATGCCAGAAGAGATTGGAATGAGGGCAAGGAGTTGCCCTTGTTTTCTCCTTCTGTGATCATTCAAGGGTCATTTGCTTTGCTGAAAGAAGAATATAGAATAAAAAAAATGCACTTTTTTAAAATATAATGTATTCGAAATATTTTGAAAGTTTTCGTCCAGATGTAAAACAAACTGAGGAGATTATTAATTCATATTTGATTTATGATAAAATGAGATCAATGTAAAACCTAGCGGTGGCTGCCGGCCAGAGTGGTGATCGGAAGTCGGCTGGCAGCGGCGACAACAGTGGCTATAGGGAGCCAGGTGGTGCCCGGGCAGTTTAATGGATTAATTTATCTGCATGTTCATTGTAGAATCTCGACAGTAAGATATATTGTCCATTTTAATTACTAAAAAAAATTTCCTGGAATCTTAGGTGCTTTTCATGAAGGTTACCAGAAAGTTGTATGGGGTTCGTCGCCGGGTCTTTCGAATGTCACCAATTCACCACCATTTTGAATTATGTGGCTACAAAGAACCAGTTATTGTTGCAAGTGCATACTTTATCTCTTGTATTTTGGCCTTAATTGCTGGATATATTGGTATTATTTCAACTTAAATAAAAAAATATATATTACTGCTTTTGTTCTCCAGTCATAATCTCAGTCTGCTGCAGCATCAATTCCCTTTTTAAGTGTACTGTCATCTCTCATATATAGGCAATAAGCCCCCAAATAATTTCGAATGAAGCTGCGGCTAAAAGCTTTTGGTTGGTTGGGCTATATTTGTTCCTTAAATCTCAATATTTGTATTGTTTCATTAAAATTTTGTATGTATTGCTTCTTTAGCAGAACCGTTGATTTAATTTTTGAATATTTTGGGGTTATTTCAATGATGTGTGAGCGCATTAGTACAAAATTTTATGTAAAATATTTACTTCAACTCCCCGCAATATATTTGAATTAGAACATGAGCTTTTCAATGATAATGGAGGTGCTGCAAATTTTAACAAGTTGGAGATCCAAAACATGTCTTTATATGCTGACCTAATCCCATTATAGAAATAATTGCTGCTCAAAATTAAGAAAACTTGAAATGGATATAATGAACGGTTATTATAATACTATTAAAACTATTACTTATAACAGGTCTAGGTTTTCTCTTGAATTGTGGAATGTAGAAGTCATAGTCACTTGATATATCAAAACTTAGAACTTAGCATTTAAAAATTTCAAACATTTTCCCGCTTGGTTCTATGCTTTAACGGAAAGAACCTCAAGAAGTATAGGAGCAATTATTGCATTAGGATACCGAACGTAAATTTGCATCCGAAGTCTAGTGGACACTTGTCACGGGCAAGTGGGCTCTACTATAAAATACTGGTTGGGTTGGGTTTTTTATATGGGAAGTGTGGCCTTGTAGACAAGGTTCACTTTGTGTTTAAGATGTCTGAAAAAGGGATAGTCGAAGGAAGAAGAGATGTTGTGTTTTGGATGTTCGTGTTGAATGCCTATGGGCGGAATGGGTTGTTTGATGATGTAATATCAACTTTTGAGGAGATGTTGGTTGAAGGGAAGGAGCCTGATGAGATTGTGATGTTAGTTATCTTCTCTGCTTGTGCTCACTCTGGCAATGTAACGAAATGTATTCACTACCTTGAATCAATGACGAAAGGATACAAAATGGCTCAAAGGCACAAGCATTATAGTTGTGTGGTTGATTTGCTTTCGGGCTGGTGAAGTTGAGAAAGCTTTAAATTTTGTTAATGAAATTGCAGCGGAGGAAAATGGTGATGGAGGAACAATGTTTGTTGTTAGTGCTTGGGGTGTCATACTCAGTGATTGCAGCGATTGTGGAAGTGTTATGATTGCTAAGCTTTCTTTTCACAGGGCAATTTAGTTGGATCGGGATAATGTTGGTGTCCACGTAGAACTCTCAAATTTGTATGCTAGAGTTGGTATGTGGAATGAGCTTGCAAAACTAAGAAAGTTGATGTTACCTAATTTTACTTTATTACATTTATCCTACCCAATTCTTTCATATGACCTCTAAAATATTATGCAAATTTGTTTAAATACTAAAGTTTGTGTTAGATATGTAAACACATAAAAATGTGTGGCATATGTGTAAACATTCCAAACAAAAATTTTTAGCATTTTCGGTGCTCACTGTTAAGTGAGTTGTGTATCTGAAATTTTGATCTATTTTGAAATGATATTCTGCTTCTGAAGTATCAAATATGTGGCTACCATGGTTCTGTTTTAAACGGCTTCTATAAACAAAGGTAGAATGATCATTTTTCCAGACACAACTGCCTCACAGCTGTTTTCAGACAGATGCAATAAACAAATAGCCAGCTTCCCCACAGTAGTTTCCTGGGGCAGCACGGTTGCAGCTGAAAAGCTAAGAAGCTGCAGCTACACCAAACAAACTCTAAATCCTCTCTAGAGAGTTCATAAGTGGTTAATACAACATTTGATGCTTAGGTGTCATTGATTTTGACGTGGTCGACCCTTTAACCAATGAAATTCAAATTTAACCCATTTAAATCTTTTAACTCGTTGAACTTTGGACCATTAATTGACCTAAACAATGGACATTTGAGCCATTTAAGAGTGACTATAGTTTAGTTAAGAACTTCTAAATTTTAGTTAATCTAATGACTCAATCAATTAATTCACAAAAACCTAAGTTAATTAAACTCATAAGAGTTTAATGGCATTAATCAACTTTAAACCTCAGACTAGCCAATCCCACTAACTATAGAATGCTTGTAGGTAAAAACATCTTTAAGAGCGCAGTTGACCTTTTGATTAGCACAATTGCATCCTCTTCACCCAACTTGACCCAATTGAATTCAAATAAGCTCAATTGAGGCAAATTGTTTAGTCCAAACTATTTGACAGATTCTTAGGATGCCCTTGAATTGATCTGAGGCTACTTAATCTAATTTGACCATGGGTTTATCCAATTTGGTCAAATAAATCACATTAACCCATTTAACTCATATTAGCTTAAATGAACTAAATAAATTCAAATTTCTAAATAAGTTAATCATGTTGATCTAATGGCTAGATAATACCATAAACTAATCTTTATAGCAAGGATTTGGAGTAGGCTAAATAATAATGATTATTAAGGGCAAAACTTGATAAGCTTAAGTACATTGGATAATCTAATTAAACCATTCCATAGCTTAATATTGCACTTAGCCTATCCTAAATGAACCTTTGCTTTTATCTCATCCCTACATTTTCTATGGCAAGGATAGGTGGTGGCTACAAAAGATGCTTAAACATCTGGAGCCTTTCCTACTCCATCTTGAGCTAAAAACCTCTCTTGAGCCTTTCCTAACTTTCTAATGCTCTCAATTAGCTTGATCTACTATTGAATCTCAAGCTAATGCTAGGTTTGGTCAATCCAACTATCTAGAAGATCCCATAAAAGTTTGAGAGAGGGTTATTCCTTATTCACCTCAATAAAGGTACTTGTTACTGTCGACACTATTTTGGTTGGGGGAGTTGTCCGTAAGAAGTTGCCGGTCACCAGAATCGAAATTTTGTCACCCGCTTCGAAAGTACGTTTTAATTTACACATATATATAAGTTTTAGAAAAATATGAAATCAAACTGACCACATATTTTTCATAGTTTAAATGAAAGAGCACTATACCTCAAATCCTGTATCTATCCTGAAGGATAAACACAAGACTTGAGGATGAGACTCGATCAAATAAACTAAGAAATATATGACATCCGTTTGGTCTGCGAAACCATTTTATTTGCTGACAATTTTTCCTATTTAATATGAAGAATTAAATAAGATTTATATTAAGCTGGGTTCGGACAAGCTTCCTATAAGGGCAAGCCCCTATAGCTAATTACATCTTAGATAATTGAAGTCACCTAAGAAAACTCTCAATAAAAATCAGAAAATATTATCTTCAAGGAGTTCAAAATGATGGGACTTTTCAACGAAATCGAACAAACGAGGTGTGAAAGGGGATTGGTTCAAGTTTGGAACATTTTATTTTTTAGAATCCAAAGCGGGAAGAACTAGGAGATGTCATAGATCCGGAGGAGAACCTCGGTGACTTCCCAGTGTATCCTATTGTTTGGCTTCAATTTTGAGGAGACATATTTAGGTGTTGTATCCTGTCAATTTTATTTGTTAGAGCATACATTTGTGTGAAACGATCACACAAATATTCCGGAAGATGTGAGGCTTTAAGTCATGACAGACGACAACCTCAGAATCCTAAGATGAGTTAGGGCATAGATTATACAGCAGAGTTGTACAAAGGTCTAAGGATGAGGTGAGGATTTATGTTGCATAAGCATACAACCCTCGAAATCCTATGGCTTGGTTGCTTAATTCTAAGGATGGAAATCAGTTTAGTTGGGGAAGTCATGTTTTGATACAGTGCTAGCTCCAAGCTCCTTGTCGTGACAAATTTATGTTTTCCACGGTGTCAAGTTATGATGTCAAATCAGATGGTTGTAGTTCTTTAAAAAATTTTATGGGGGCATGTTAAAGTTGATTAGAGCGATACCGGTTAGGGTCCTACGGTTCACTCATTCCGGTACCACTATTTTCTATCAAATTCAATTGGTCCAAATGAATTTACTAAACTCAACTTAATGAGTTTTATACTTTCATTTAGACTGTGGGAAGCCTTGTTAGCAATCGTAGGTTACCTCCTGTAGGTTACCTTACCTCCTCCGAGGGATTCCCGATCATCCAATAGAGACGTCTTAATTTAGTTAAAGTTGTAGTTACTTGTGATTTTTGTGATTAAATTTTGAGTTATTTTAAATTTTGAGTTGTCTTATATTTTGAATGTTGGGGCGGTGAATTTTATCTAGGTTGATTTTAGTTTTGGTTTTGGTTTTACGGCTATCCTAGCAATTTTGATTTTCATGCAGGGTGTCATCGTTGCTTAACATACAAGTTTTATAAGCATAAAAATATAGTGTACAGTATGGAAAGTATAGAAAAAGACGGTACTGTAAACTGTAAAAATGTACGTGACGAGTATTCTCGTTCCACCACCTAAAACTCAAAATGCATCTGACAAAGTGCATGTAAGGGCATTTTATGTAAAGTGGAAAAAAAAGGTTCTGGTGATCTACCAGAATCCTAAATCATATCTTGGTGAGCACATATTAATTTGACTAAGGATGATTTCATTAGGCAAAACATATCAAGTTTAATAGACCTTCGAGGTATCCAACAGGTCAGGAGAAAAAGACAGTTCCATGCTTTCCCCTCACCACCTGGTGAAATGTCTCGAGCTCATTTAAACTTGTTATGTTGCTTAATAATCCATCCTATAAATATTTTTAATGTTCAATGAACAGTAATGTTTCAATTATTACTAAGAGTATAGTGATTATCATTTATCATTCAATTCGAGAATTATACAGGTAGAGACCCTTAAAGGGGCAAGTTAGTGTTATTAAGACACTTAGCCAATTTGGTTTTAACTTGGGCTTGTAGTGTTCAAATTCTAGTTACATTCACTTTTCTAATCCTCATTTAGTCAAATTTGATTTAGCTTAGGTCACTACTAAACCCATAAGATCCTAGTGGATGTCTTAGTCATTTTGAAAAGAGATTAAATTTTAAGTGATAATAATCCATCATCAAAACATTTGAATGTCACTTGAACATCAGATAGGTGACCGACTTCTTTTTGTAATCGACAATACAAGAATTTGATGCCGCTACTAGAAAATTTAATTTTCCAGCAACAGTGTCCAAAGACTTGATCACGACTTTATAGATGTTTCTGATTTGATTAAGTTGTATAATTATAAAATTTAATGATGTTAAAGTCAAATTTGTCAACGCAAGTATACGTATCGCTCAAGTAAT